CCGCCCCGTCATGTGACTGCGCCGCGCGCTCCGCCCCGCCCCGCCGCCGCGACGCGAGCCGCCCATTGGCCCGCTCCGAGGAAGAGCCGCGCCGCGCGCCCATTGGTCTAGAGGGCGGTGATTGGCGGCGCGGGCGGCCAATGGGCTGCGTGCGCGCCAGGCGCGGCGGAGATGGAGCGCGGGGCTGTGCGGGCCATGGCGGCCCGGCTGGGCCTGGCCGAGTCCGCCSTTCTCAGGTACTGCCCGCCGTTCTSAGGTACTGTCCCCCGTTCTCAGGTACTGTCCCCCGTTCTCAGGTACTGCCGGCTCCGCCGATGGACGCTCCGGGCTCCCCTGCCCGCGGCCGGCCCGGCGCTATTCCCGCCCGGGTCAGTGGGTCAGACCGAGCGGACCCGTCCCGGCCCGCGCTCCCCCGCGCTGGCTGTGCCCGGCAGCGCCGCCGTGGCCGCTGTGGGTCTGGTGCATGTGCTGGAGCCCCAGAGCCGCGGGCATGCGGGGTCAGTGCCGCACCCGCCGCAGGCTCYGCAGTGCAAAGCTGCTGCTATTGTTGCTGCACATCATCAGAGAAAGGGCGGCGTTGCCCCGTCAGCACCTCTGTCCCTAAGGAGATTGCAGCAGTCCCTAAGTGCTGCAGCAGGACTGCGAAAGCTTGGATCGGGTCCCGTCGGAGATTGTCTTGTAGCTGTGGTTTTGTTGACGAGGGCYTTGTGTTCTGGGTGTTTTGCAGAAAAGCTGAGGAGTATCTACGGCTGTCGCAGGTGAAATGCACGGGATTAATGGCTCAAATGACGGCGACAAGCAGTGCTGTGATGTGCCTGGACCTGGCGGCGAGTTTCATGAAACAACCAATTGACAAAGTAAGATAGTGTGTGACTTGGCTGGCTGGTGCATTCTGCCTGACTCCACAAAACCACTGTTCTGTGTAGTGTGTGCTGGGAGCAGGAGTGGGATAGAATAATCAATTTGACCCTAGATCCCGCAGTTTGCTGCGTTAGATCTTCCACTGTTCAGAGTTTCAAACGGGACAAATTAAGATCAGTGGTGTCATCTCTTCACAAACTGATCTTGCTTTGGTTGAATTTCAACTCCTATAGTGACAAATAAATTACCAGCAAGGATGTTAAATGTATGATCTGTCCCTTTTACTGTGGGAAGAAAGCAGTTGCTCCAAGAAGTCTGTCACTGTAGGGGTACRTGTAAATCTCCATCTGCAAATCCGCCAGGTAAATGGCACTGAGCTGCCAAAATAATGGGACTTGACCCCATGAAAGTGTTGCTCATGTCTTCAACTTGCCCAGAATTTTTTGTCATTAACTACCTTTTGATAAAGGGGCCATGTCAGATACGTGAAATGATCTAAAAATATCACTGCATTAAAAGATGTGTCTTTGCTAGGTGGTTAATCATTCTGTGTGCAATGAAAACATGTATTATTCACTGCACAAATTTGCTTAATATAGCAACTGAACTTCACAGTGTTGTGTTGGTTGCCTGATTAAGATGTCAAGAAGGAATCTTGCTAAYTCTTGAGGTGTGTCCTTGTCTTCYTGACAGAGCTATTGTGTCAAACTCTCYGGTTTGAACAAGACCACCTACCAGAGCTCCATGAAGTCTTTGGAGTGTTTGCTAGAGGTGAACCAAAAGCTGGGGATGCGAGACTTGGCTGTGCAGTTTTGCTGCTCAGAGGCAGTGAACATGGCTTCAGAAATCCTGCAGAGGTGAGGAAGCTCTTGTGAGCACACTGGGAACCAAAGTTTGTTCATAAGATGTGTAAAGAGTTTGATATTTGGAAGGGTCAGATATCTCCTGCTGATTGGAGCAATGAGATGAGTCCTTAGCACTGATGATCCAGCCATGAGCTGGACCAGTGTTTAGAATACATGGTAAAAGGACTGTGAATCTCAGCAATTCATTGTCTAACTCTGGATTTTTCAGCTGGGAATAGTGTAAAAAATATAGGATTCTTAATCTCTGTATTTGCCCATAGCATCACACTGTCATCCATTTAACTGCTGATCATGGCACAGTTAGAAGCAATGCTCAGAAGAAATAAATCCTCCCTTTTGGGGACACAGATCTCTTAAAATGTACGTCGCTTTATCTGTAAAACCAACAGATAGAACATTTCAGTGGAGATCAATCAGTTAACTAAAATTACCCATTCTGTATTGTKTGCTTTAACCAGAGCAGTCCCTGAAGAGTTCTGTTCTGCAGTTTTGTCACCCTGATGGCACCTGTTTAAATGCTCTTAGGTGCACAAAGGCTGTATTTGCTTGGTAGTGTTTATACAAACTGGAAAGAAATAGYCTGGGGACAGGTGGACAATAAAAAATTACATTCTTCAGTGCTGCACATGTGCTGTGTCAGTTCCCATATTTAAGCCTTCATCTCTGTACATTGGGAATCAAAGAAACTGTAATACTGTCTTCTCCTGTAGGATGGATTTATGCAAAGCATCTCATTGTGAATTGTTGGCAAGAGCTAAAAGTGCAGTTGTTATTTGCTGTTCTGTAGRTATGAATCCAGCCTCTCGGAGGCACAGCGAGTGGACCTGGATTTCTCAAAACCCCTGTTTCTAACAGCTGCACTCTGCACTGCATGCAGGTGAGTGTAGCCTGGAGACTGAAATGCCTGCTGAGACACCAACCAGTGTCAGCAGTTTGTTCATTCAGGGTCTTGCTTAGCGATRTCCTGCTGCCCTGCTCCTGAAAAAGAGAGAGCTGTACCAAACCAGGCCTTTCCTCACAGAGAAATCTTCAACATGCASTGCACAAAGCAAAAACTTAGATGGCTGTTGGTGAAAATAGTGCTTAAGGTGCAAGAATGGCTTCTGAGCACCAAGAAGCAGTCTGAAGCAGGAAAAGCCCTGAGCCCTACACCATGACATCCTGAGGGTGCTGTAGCCTTTGGGAGATGGCTCTGATAGCTGTAGGCCCATATCAGCTAAGAGAGGGGTGTGACTCAGAGCCAGCACCTGTGAAGAATGTTCTTTGCTTGCATGCAAATATCTTCCTCCCTCAGCATTACACCTTGTGACAATCTTGTTCAGCAGTACAGGTGCTGCACAGCTCCTGACAAGGGCTCTCTTGGCACAGGGGTCCCATTCAGCTTTTTGCAGTAGTGACATTTTGCCCTGGTCCCCTGAAAATCTGAAAAGTTACCTTTTCCTAATACAATTCCTTATGTAATTTGATCTCCCCCGAGTTTCGATTGAGCTGTATTGACTCAGTAGTGTAAGGGTCTGTTTTTTAGGTAGATTTGTTTCTGAGACATGAATAGGTAGAACAAAAAGTCAGGCCTGCCCTCCTCATCCTCACAGGCAGTGTTGGTACAGTAATTATCACCTCACCTAAGTGATAATTGCTGAGGTGTTGCTTTGTACAGAGATAACTCTCTTGTAGGTGTTTGAAGCTAAAAGTGGACAAGACTAAAATGCTGGCTACATCTGGAGTGAAAAAAGCAATATTTGACCGACTGTGCAATCAGCTGGAGAAGATAAGCCAGCAACTCAGCAGTAAGTTTTTGGCTTTGTCCCTGTAAGACAGCACACCCATCCAGGGGCCTCACTGTCCCATCCTGTTCCACTGGTGATTCCATTCTGATCACTTAGCTGTCCCCTCCAGCCAAATCTGCCCATCCATCCCAACATCCTTCCTGCAGCCCAGTTCCCACTCCCAGTCCTTGCTTCTGGAGAAGTCGTAATAGCTTAGCAAGGACAAAAATAGAAAAAAGTGGCAAGGACAAAAATATTTTCCTCTCCTCAAATGCTCACTGCTCTTTACAGTCTCTGCTGTTGCAATTTATTCCTTGCTTCTCCCATACTACCTGACCTATCTTGGATTCCTCCCTCTTGCTTTCTGCATCCTGTTAACATGGCAACATGACACACAAATTATCTCAAACATCTTCTTCTGACTGACTCATTTGTGTGTTTTCCTTTCCCCTACTGCAAGATTAACAAGTATAGGCCATGCTGTTCTAGTTATAACTCAGCCATTCCCTGGTACCATCCCTCCTCATACATGGGGAAGATAGCAGGAATATTTCTYGCCCATTGTTGAGCCTATAGCTCTCTCTGCTCCTTTTTGTGTCAGAGAAATCCTCAATACAATACACGCCTTAATGTTCTTGTATTTCTGTTGCTTCTTCCTCTTTCTCTTTTCTCCTTTCCCAGGCTTTCATTCTTATTTTCCCACTGAAAGTTATCCTGCTTCACTGTGCCTACATGCTTCCTGRTGTTTTCTATGACATGCTGCCTGCATCTAATGCAAAAGCTGCTACTCTCTCCTAGGCATGGACCTTTCCATAGTACAGTGCCCTATAAAAACCCACACATTACCCCAGCACTAAAGCAACTAAAGGCAGCTGAGAATTTCCATAGGAATTCAGGGAATRGTGTGCATCTGTATACCTGGACAGCCCCCAGCATGTTGTGGGTATCTATAAAAATTATGGGAATGGAATAGAAGGGGAAGAAATAATTGCTAATCCTGCCTGAGTTCCCTAGAAGGGTAGCAAGGTGGCTTTGGGCAATGAACATGGCAGATCATTGTGGTTACCAATGCAGCAGCAGTTTGCTGCTAATTAGCAGCCTGCTTATTAAAGCAGCCAGTCAGTCCATGCAATCCTTGGAGTGCTGGCACCTCTAGTAGAGCATCAGTCTGGAGCAGGGAACTGCTCTGCCTGGACAACAGTGCTTGTGGAAGGTGGCACTGCTGTCAATGACAGGTAGGCCACCCCTGGAGCCCCAAATACCATTCAGAAGTAAAGAAACATATTTGTTTTTTAGAAGAAATTCCACCAGCTGCAGAGACACCTGACAGCTTGCAGACCGCCCTGGAGCAGTGTGMGCAGGAAGAGGGTAAGTTCTGTTCAGCTGTGAATGAAAATCACCTCACCAGAGTAGTTCTGAGCTTTACTGCTGCTCAGTGTTTGAGTTGTGACAGACCACGGTGCTCCAGGTCACAGCAGCTCTGTCCATCCTGCAAACCATTGCCTGTGGAGCACAGTGAGAGCCTGCCAGAAGGACAGTGGGGTTTATACTGAACTAGGGACTGTAGAATTTAGGACAGCTGTTCTGTTCAGACACAGGTAAAGAGGTGATTGCCCCAGCAGGTGAGGGGAGCAGTAACCACAGGATTAGATAACACAGGGACAGTGTGCATTTACTCAGATGTTGCCCATGATGGCATCTCATGGACATTCTTRTTTCCTCACAGGCTCTGAAGATGATGAGGAGATGCCATCTAAACGGCCAAAGACTGAAACAAATCAGGACTATGARGAATGGAAAAAGAAAATCCTGGAAAATGCTGCTAAGGCACGAGAGACAAGTAGCACTGACTCTGCACTGCCASCCAGTAATGTAACTGCTGCTTGCTCTTAATTTTAACTCTCCCTCTGATTCAGTAGTATATGAGTGATGGCTGCCTGGCAGACAGCTGATTTTATTTATGTTTTAAGRATTTAAGAATGTTATTTTTAATAAATGGCACCATGGATTGATGTGATTTTACAGGAAGCCTGTGTGACTGCTCACCAGGCTGTGGCATTAGGGGGTAGCACAGCCTCCTTCTCTTGCTGCAAGAGCCAGGTAACATTCTAATGCTACGTTAAGTGTAAATAAGTTATAAGTTACAGGCCCTTGGGTCCCTGGCTGGAAGCAGTGAGTGAAATAAGAGGGAGGAGGCTATAACAGTGCCTTGTTAAACTGCAAAGCCAGCAGASAAATGAAGCCTTATTTTTTTAGGTTTTGGTTGTTGTTTTTTTAAATAAATATTATTTAGTCATTGGATTTTACTTATTTGCATGTGTATGGGAATGAAATCTCTTGTGCTTTTGTAACGGGTCCCAAATATTCCAAGAAACAAAGTACTGGAAGGAAAAGCTTTGTATTGTGTGACATCATGATCTTGGCACACATACTTGGAATGCAAAATAAAAAACATAAAGGAGATGCCTGTGCTTTAAGCAGGAAGATTCCAGGGGAAAAGGATGTTGACTGGGTAACAGGTTTTTTTTGTGTTTTGCAGTTATAAGCTTAGAGAAGAGGTCTTTGTTTCATTTGTTTCATGTTTTCTGGCCTGTATCTCTGGACCTACCCAGAAATAATTTCAGGTTTGTTTGACAGGGAGGCTTAAACCAAAACTGAKGAATAGGCTTGTTCCACTTTCAGGAAATTTATTAGTATTAATTCAGAAATATACAGACCAATAAATACAATGGCATTCAGCATGCAGAAACGCTGTGGAAGGAAAACATGAACAAAAGTGGCCCTTCATAGAAGGTGATAAATGATTGAGATTCTTCTCTGTCCCAATTCTGGAAATGCTGCAAAAGTCAGGACTATGCAGAGTGAGAAGCACTCGAGTGGAAAAGATTAGGATAAGCCAGTCTTACAAACCTCGTCATTAGCAACCAACACTTCTGCAAATTCAAGTGATGTGAAAGTCCATAAAGTTCAAGGGAGCCTTACGGGTGCCTTCTCTGGAAAGCTTCTTTTAGTAGYATTAGTTTCCATTTTTCCTAAGAAGCCATACAGTTCACACTGAGTTTTGCAGAATCCAGAACAGGAAACCACAAGCTTAAAAACTAATGTTATACTTTTCTCTGAGAGATTGTAAGTGGCTCCCACTCTACACGTAAGAAAAGAGTTAAAAATCCAAAATAAGTTAATGTTGTGAAGAAAGGGTTTAATGTTCAAGAGCAAAGTGAAGGGGGATAAAAAGGGCTTCAACCTCCTAACTGGACTAAAGGCAGAGTCTGGCAACACTCTTGTTTCCCTGTCACTGAATCTATTAGAAATAAAACCTGTTTTGCATGTCACACCATACCAGCTCCTCAGACTTCATTAACATTTCCAGAGAGGAGAAACAAATCCCTAAACTAAAACTTACCAACTTAAATGCTGCAGTCCCAGACAATGAGAAGCACTTACTAGTTTTAAAAACATAAAATYTCTGGAAATCTCTTATTTTCTGGACAACATGAGATCTTTTTGCATAGACCCAACAGTCATGAGGTGATTTGYATTCATGGCAGTTTCACATATCTCATTCCAGAAGTTCAATCAGTTCAGCTCAATTCAACCTTTCATAAGATATAGCAACAATGGACTAATTTAAGTTGCTTCAAACCAGGATTCCTCATCGTTCCTAACTATGCAGTGATTATTTTCTAAATGAGAGAGTAGAATAATTAAAAACCAAAGCAACAAACCAAAACCATCCAAGCTGTA